GATTCTTCTTCTTGCCGAAATACCAAATCCTCAACCAAAACTCACCACGCGAGACCCTAGCACAAAACCACACCACCCAATAGCTCAAAAGTCGCTGAATGTTCTATTAAGCATCCCAAAAGTACCACAACTCAATTACTTACTCTGAAAAGACTCCCTATGAATTTAAGCTATTCCTTTCCTTTCCTCATAGCGAAATATAGGATCCACTACGATATAGAAATACCACAAATCTTGACGCCTTTCAATGTAAGTCTCAGTTTATAGTCAAATACACATCCTTAAGATACCCAATTGTTACATATAGATCCTGAATCCATCAGAACCATTCTCGAGAGTCATCCACTCTGCTCAAATCTCAATTAGACTGATCAAATGATCCGAACGACCTGTGCTCCATTAGCACTCCAACACCTAAGGATGTAACCCCACCTTAATGCAACCAGATAAATTTCTGCTCCACGCACATTACACCCTTCGCCAATAACAACTCAAATCATTCCATGATTCTCATATACTCATAAAACCTAATACAACTCGTATCCAGAAATTCCCTTTACTCGAGTCATCCTTGATCTCAACCTCTGTAAGCCACAACTGATTCACCGGTATACCTCAAACTGAAACCAATACAACACATAACCGTGCAATCAACTAATCAATAGCAGACTCCCCCACTTATCTCAAAGCCATAGCTCAAAACACACAAAAACTCACAATGACCATACTCTATTACTACCATAATACCATAGTGAGATTCAACTAAACCCTTTATAAGCTCATGCGACACAAACCATCTAGTACTTCAAATCATTTGCAAATCTCGCATTCACCCTCGTAACAGTCAAGCCCCCTCTCATAAGCGATCCAAACTCAAATTGCAACACGTATATGTCTCTTGTAAAAGAAAACTCCCAACAAACAACATAGGGATTACACAACCCTCAGAACACTCCGCAGGAGATAACCCACCTGCTTCGCCTCAAACTAACATCTCCTTATACCCTTCCACCGTCATAAACACCAAGCAATCACTTACCTTCCTGAGTCCGAACTCATATCACAACATGAAATCTACTTCACTCCCCAACTAAACAACATGAAAAGATCCTTTAACACACCCATAACCGGGGCTATACATCAAATAAAGATGGAAATCAAGCACCAAAGAGTTCTTTTTTTTTTACCATCAAGCAGACTCTCCTCGTCACCTCCAAATCATATGAACACATCTCGCAGTCACATCATACTCATCACATAGTACTCCAGCCATCACTTCCACCAATAGGGACACTGCCGAACATGTAAATCCCAAAAGCACGTGCTCAAACAATCAACACCTCGGTGTTCAAGCTTCAGGCGAAACCCGTTCTCAAGTCCTCCAGACTGGCCCAACATCAACACACGCAAAATAACATCTCGTCACTCATTCAGGGAATCACAAGCCGTCGATGCACAGTTGATACAAAGCGCTCATGCGCGCATACGAACGCGTGGAAGGAATTTAAAGAGTTACGCTTCAAGCTGAATCAATGACGCACGATAAGAATTCAAGAGTGTGGAATTTCCTAAAGGTTCTGCAGCCTCTCGAAGATAAGTACAGACGTCTCCGTACCGATCCGCGAGACTCTACTAAACCCGCTCATGACCCGTGAGACCTGTGTAATCTAGGCTCTGATACCAACTTGTCACGACCCCAAAAACCAACCCGGTCGTGATGGCGCTTATCATGAAACTAGGCTAGAAGACACATCCCCAAAATGATTCGACATTTCATTAAAATTTAGAAATAACCTTTTTCATACTGAAATTTCCATAAAAAGATAAATTCAAAACCAAAATGCAAATTAAAAGCCCGACCTCGGGTGTCATTAAGTCATGAGCAAATACTAAAACTGTCCCGAAATATAACAAGACTAAAATAGTCTGGAAATCAACTACTAATATCTACAGGGAGATAGGAGGGAGAAGAGAATGGCCGTGATCTCCATGCAGCTACCTTGCCAACTGCAAACATCCGCTGCGGATGAAAAATCAATGCTCGCTAGCACGTCCAGCAACCCCTGGATCTGCACACAAGGTGCAGGAAGTAATGTGAGTACGCCAACTCAGTAAGTAATAAAGGTAAATAAAGACTGAGAAGTAGGAAACACATAAAATTCACATCACAAAAACTCAGTAAGTTCAACATACTTTCAAATCAGTATATGAGTCAAATCTTCTCGTTTAAAAAAAAACCCAGTTTTTCAGTGAAAATCATTTGAAGATGCTTTCAACAGTTTTCAACAGAAACTCAATGCAATTTAGAGTAAAAGTGATAAAAATCATAACAGCCCCTCGGGCAAAACATAGTTCGTATACAACTTCTCGGGCAACATGGATCATAAACCGCCCTTCGGGCATAATATCACTCTGAATCAGCCCCTCCGGAAAATCTCACAGCCACTCGTAAACAGCCCCTTGGGCACAACATGAATCAAGAACAACCCCTCGGGCCCAGCATAAATCAAGAACAGCCCCTCGGGCACAACATAAATCAAGAACAGCCCCTCGGGCAAAACATCATAGCACTCGCTCAGGGTACCCGCGCTCACTGGGGGTGTGCAGAATCCGGGGGGCTCCTAAAGCCCAAGCGCTATAACAAGCCACCTCGTGGCATAATCAATCAGGCCCTCGGCTTCTCATAATCACAAATCAGTAACAATACGCTGCGACGCGCAGCCTGATCCCATAATATCCTCACAACACAGGCCCTCGGCCTCACTCAGTCAGAAAGCTCTCAAGCCACTCAGGCTATCAGTAAAACAGGGTGCTCAGCCCAAAATATCATTTTGTGCATCAAAACGGAGTAATAAAGACTGAGTTATGAAATCAGTAAAACATAGCATGACTGAGTACGGATCATAAATCAAAGCAGTGAGGAAATAATAAGGAAAGGCCCCTAAGGGTCCAAACAGCTTTGGCACGAGGCCCAAATATGGCATTCAACCCAAATTATAGAAATTCTTTCTAAAACACATAAGTGTCATATAGTTTTCAGTCAAATACGCAACTTAATAACTGCTATGGGACGGACCAAGTCACAATCCCCAACGGTGCACGCCCACACGCTCGTCATCTAGCATGTGCGTCACCTCAAAATAGTGAAACGATGTGAAATCCGGGGCTTCATACCCTCAGGTCAAGATTTACAATCATTACTTACCTCGAACCGGTCAAATTCCTACCTCGCGATGCCTTTGCCTCGGGAATCGGCCTCCAAACATCTCGAGTCTGCCCAAAAGCATTACAATGCAATCAATATAGGCCAATGAACCAATTCCATACGAAAATCATCAAATTTACCAAAATCTCGAAATTCGCCCAAATCCGGCCCCCGGGCCCACGTCTCCGAATCTAATAAAACTCATAACACTAGAAACTCCTTTCACTCACAAGTCTATACGTACCAAAATTATCAAAATCCGACATCAAATGGTCCCCCAAACCCTCAAATTAAACTCTCCAATTCCAAGCCCTAATCCCTTTAATTTCATCCTTAATTTCTACTAATTTCATGCTTAAACAACTGAAAATCACCATAATCACGAGTGTTAGGCTCAAGAAACTTACCATAATGAAGAACCCCTTGATTCCCTCTTCAAAACTCCCCAAGAGCTCTAATCCCGTCTTCAAAAATGGAGGAAATAGGTTCCGCTCCTGCGGCCCTTTTTCTCGCACCTGCGCAACCGCTTTTGCGGTCCAATCAACCGCACCTGCGGTTTTAACTTAAACGCCCAGGACCGCATCTGTGCCCCAGGCACCGCACCTGCGGTCCCGCAGATGCGTCAAACACACCACATCTGCGGTCTTCTCTTGGCCCTCAAGTTCCGCATCTGCGGCTTCCCCACCGCATCTGCGACCTCGCACCTGCGGTCCCTAATCCGCAGGTGCGGAAACATCAGAAACAGCAGCTTCAGCTGCACAATCTCAATTCCAACTCTTCCGTTAACCATCCGAATTCATCCCAGGGCCCTCGGGACCTCAATCAAAAATAACAACAAGTCACATATCACCATTCAAACTTACTCAAACCTTCGGAACACTCAAAACAACATCAAAACACCAAATCACCCTCGGATTCAAGCCTAAGAACTTCCAAACTTTCGAATTCCGCAAACGATGTCGAAACCTATCAAACCTCGTCCGAATGAACTGAAATTTTGCACACACGTCACAAATGACACTACGGACCTACTCGAATTTCCTCATTCCGACCCGATATCAAAATTTCCACTGCCGACCGAGAAACGCCAAATTTCTAATTTTGCCAATTCAATCCTAAATCTACCACGGACCTCCAAATCACATTCCGGACGCGCTCCCAAGTCCAGAATCACTTAACGAAGCGAACCAAATCATAAAAATCCAAATCCGAGATCGAATACTAAAAAGTCAAAACTTGGTCAAACCTTTCAAACTTGACGAGACTCATTCTTCCATATCTGTTCCGATTAACCTGAAAACCAAAACCGACGATTTACATAAGTCATAATACATCAAAACGGGGCTAACCATGCCCGAGAACTGGCGAGCGAAGTGCAAATGCTCAAAACGACCGGTCGGATCGTTACAAGTGAATCAGGATCAACATCAACGGCATACTATCAGAGGAAAATCGAAGATCCAATAATACTCAGTGGAGTAGAAGTTATTAATTAATTATTGAATATATTGAGGAATTCTCAATTCAATAATAAATAATTAATGAAAGAAAACTTTTAAACCATCACTTATCATATTGTTACGTATCCTAATCAAGATTTCTTATACTAGGCAAAAGAACCGCTAATCTAGACAAGATTTTTTGCAAATAAAAAGTTATGCTGACGTGTCCTACCTTCACTAAATTTTTTGGAACAAATCCATAAAAACATAACCATGCTAGAATTTAATAAAGATCCAAAAAACTAAATATTGTTACCCCTCTGATTTAATGCTAAGGTTATCAAGTAGTAGCTATACCACACACGGAGTAATTTAAAAGTAAGCATTATCTAAGACTAACTAATATTGAATGTAATTAGTATTCCAAAAAAGTACATCAAACAAAAAGGGAAGGATCATCAACAAATTACAAATAGGGTAAAATTAAAGGATATTGAGTAGTCATGGAAATGACTTTACCTATTTTTGATTAATTAAAATTCAAACCCTCATTTCTTTTTAACATAAGGTCAGTTCTCAAAGTCTGGTCACTTGGTCTGTGGTGGCAAAGCTGAGGATTCCGTGCATTGCACTACTGTAGGAGATCCATGTCTATGCAGAAGTTCACGTGCCAACTCTTGAAGATCGCCGCTGCCGCCTCCGGTGGTCGACGGTGACATCTCTACCGGAGCTCTAGCGCCGCCGCCATAGTGGCGTGGGTCCATAGGCGATGGCCGTGGCTGCTGCATTGCCCAAGAGGGTTGAACCATTGGGTCAAAAAGTGAGGATAAATCATATGCTGCTGGCAATATTGAGGGTCCTGCTGTTGGCAAGTCTGCTATGGAGAGTGCTGCTGGCTGTGGCGGTAGCAGTGTCTGAGATTGTTGTGAAGGCGGCTGCGGCGGCGGTGTTGGAAGCTCTAGGGTTGCGAGATGGGCTTGTAAGTATGAGAGTTCTGCTTGTAAATTCACTACCTGAGTTGATAAAAAACTGTACGCTATCAATGCACAGAAATTAAACGTTTTCTTTACTAACATACCATACCTGAAAAATGAACAATATAATTTCGTGGAGCTCTAGTGGCAGAATTAATTATGCTTTATTTTTTTTTAAAGAAAAAACCATCTAATTATTTGAGAGAGAAAAAAATAAACTTATATGATGCATGAGTGACTCTCACAAAGAGTCGAGATTTTGATTACATGAAAAGATTTGCTTTATCAAAATCTAAAGAAAAAGGTGTGTGTATATATATTGCATGCTATGTAGTCTAAATAACCATTTTGTAATCATGGGGTGTCTTTCTGTTACAAGGAAACAAGGAAAAGCAATTTTAGGTAAATGCATTCTGAGTGATCTATTTGGCTGAGTTCTGATAGAAGATTTGGGGCTTCTTTGGCACCAATGATAAACGGATAATTAATTCCGGGATTAAATTTGAGATGAATTAATTATATCATGTTTGGTTAGGATAAAATCATAGTATAACTAATCTCGGAATTAGTTATCCCGGGATTAAGTGTTATTATTATCCCTATGAGGGTTCATTTGATACGGGGGACAATGGATAATTAATCCCAGGATTAAATTTGAGATGAGTTTATCCCACGTTTGATTGGGATAAAATCACGGTATAACTAATCCCAGAATTAGTTATCCCGGGATTGTAGTATTATTTTAATTTATCCCTATGGGAGGGTGGGATAGGAATCCCATGATAACTGATCCCGGGATAATTAATCCCGAGATAACTAGTTTCCCGACCAAACGATCCCTAAAAGGATGGGATAACAATCCCAGAATAAATTATCTCGAAATAATTAATCTTGAAATACCTTGTTTCTCAATCAAACGACCCCTAGTGAAAGACGAAGGAGAGGTTTCGAGATTCAAATTTTCTAGTTTAAAAGTTTTATAACATTTCACAAGTCGTAAAGTTATCAAAGTGTTCATATTAAAAGAAATTCAGTAGCTTTTGTCTAAATCATATATTTGTCTTATAAAATTTATCGTATATGTATAATTTATTAATTTAGAACATATAAACTTCAAATCCTAAATCAAGAGTCAAAAAAACAAAAAAAAACCCAAATATATAGCTCAGGTAAAGGCACACAAAGTGAGGTGGGGGATAAATTTTTCCCATAAGAATGACAAAATCATACAATGGCTGGGTTCTAAAGGTCCCGTATTTACTTCACATTCCATACTTTGTGCAATATATCTAATACATCATCATTAATTAATGGTAAACTTTGGGATCTGTGTATTACTGACAAATTCAAAGGAATAGAAGTTGATTTAGGTTCTTTTGGGAAGCATAGAAGTAATCTAACCAATTCCCAATACTCCAAATGATAAATAAAAAGAAGAAAAGAAAAAAAATGCAAGAAGCAAATAACCTTCAAAGTCAACCAGCAGACACGGAGAATTATCTAATTAACTGTCTAATACAAGTGAATTATTGAAGCGGAACGTTAATTAAAAATCTCTTAATCCATTTACATGATCAAAATATATTATCGATTTCTAAGACATTTGATATTAATTATTAAAAATATAAAAGTGTATACCTTTTGTTTTCAGAAGAAATCAGGCCGGTTTACTTTTCAAACATTGAAATTTAATTTTAGATTAAATTTAAGGGAAAATTCATTAGTGACCTCCATACAGATTTGCCTTATTCTGAAAGCAACTGAATGCAGCGAACACAAACATATTACACTGTTAATTAACGTTAAAAAAAGTTTAAAATGGACAGGTTTATCAATATAAGCAGACATAATTCACTATACACTAATTGAAGAACCAAACTTAAGTCAAGCTGTTAACCGGATATAAGGTGAGAGAAAAAGAAAGGACTAAAGAAAACTTTTTAAATTTTTATTATTATCCTAGTTGAGGAGTATCGGTTTCAACATGCTTCTTAGAGAAACAACAAAAGAGTGGTCATTGTCCCTTGTGCTAAAAATAACCAAATTATATTATATTTTCATTTTGCTCTAAAGAAAAAAAAGACTGATTATTTTTTTTTAAAAAAGAGAAGAATATTTCTATGAATTTTGACTAAGGAGAAGAAGGGGAAGAAATGGAGATTCTAGGCCTATGCCGACCATTTCCTTAATAACAGCAAAATTCAAAGAGATATACAAGATAAAGAGTAGTGGTACTGTTGCCCGCATCATCGTAAAAAAACAGTCCGGTGCACAAAGCTTCCGCTATGCGCGAAGGTCGGAAAAGGGCTGGACCACAAGGATTTATTGTACGACTTATTGATTCAGCAAAGTATAAAACTGTTCCCTAAATGCAATACATCATGGTCCGTTTCCCTTTGTACAAGAAAAGCTTGTTCAAGATCTAAGTACATTATTTTCACTCATATATAGCTAGGAGTTTAATTTAGTTTATTATTGGACACAAAAAATGTGAGACAATTTACATATGCCAACTCAAAATCTTAAAACATACTCATCGCAACCTTAAGAAATCTTTACTTTTGACAACCAATGCCAGATCCAAGACCATGTTCCTCAATTAACAAGAAGGCTTTATTTCCTACATACATTTCTTCTTTGCTTTCTTCACACAAAACACTAATTAATGCGTGAAAGCTGTCTCTTTTCACTCGTCCTAAAATTTTGAGTCTTTTGAAAAAATATTAATGAATAAGGTATTCTTTTTTCAAGATCATCATAATCTTAAATCCCTTTGAACTTTGGAAAAATCTGAACAAGAAACTGGGAATTAAGAGTGTTTAATTCAGAGTTGATCATATTCGTAACGCATGGAGAAAATGGTTAAAAAATAATGGAGATTCTTGAATACGCATATGGGGTTATGCTTTGTATTTATTCTAAATATGAAAACATAACGTGGAAGTAGAGTGAAGGCATTGATAATCAGTTGTTGGAGAAGTTCTAAAAGAAGAAGCAAAACGATTTGTAACGGAAGAAGAGAGGGGTGTCTTTATTTTACCAACTTTGATGATAAGACAGACTTTGAATAATTAAAAAAAAGCAACCCCCACGAGTTAAAACTATTCTTGGGGAGGACAAATGAGTCTTTTTCAAGAAACAAAGTTCAGATAATGAGTGTTAACCAATCTATAGTCATGGCAAGAAACACAGTTGAGTCTATAGTTGGATTTAACTTATATACGCACAGACACAGACACAGACACAGACACAGACACAGAGACAGTTTAATATAGAAGTTTACCTGTTGTTGAAGAGCGAAGATGTGAGCAACACAGCCATAGACAGGATCTCGGAGTCGAGCTTGAGCTTCATAACAAATGGTGACAACAGCATCAAGACGTTTATGGACAGGAATATGAAGGAGAAGTTTTGAAACATTGCTAGCTCCAAATACTTTGTGAACAGCTGCAAAATGGGCTGCACCTTGTTCTGAATCAAAATAAGGTGCAAATATACAACCAGCTACACACTTCCTTCTCAAGAATTTACAAGCACCACATGGCCCTCCTCCTCCTCCACCACCTCCGGTGCTACTACTTCCACTAGTTCCACCACCAACTCCTCCTCCGCCCGTGGCGGTGATCCCACCGCCAGTGCAATTACTAGGATTATTTGAACTCATTTTCTTGGAGAATTCACCTCTTTTGGAACTTGATATAACATAATTTGAAGGGGTTCTAAAGAAGAAGAAGAATAGAGGGAGTACTTACTAGGGTTTGGTTGGTGGTATTTGTTGGTATTAAATTTTATTTTTTATTTGAAGTGTGTATATTAGTGGAGAGGGGGGGTGTTTTAAACACTAAATGAAGTCTTTAAAGCCACGCGATGAAGCAAACCCCATTTAGCTGCTTGCGTGAAGCAAACATGCGATAAGCCAACTGCCTTTTTATTTATCTTCCTTCCTCTCGTGAGTTTTGGCCTTTGCTACCTAGCATTAGCAACACCCCCTCATGTTTTTTCTTTTTCTTTTTCTTTTTTTTTTCTTTCTTCTAGCAATAATAATCTATTTTTCTTTTGGCTCTCTTTTTATACCACTTTTGATGTAATACAAGAAGAATACATCCAATCTTGCTTTATACTAGAAAAAAACCATTGCTATATACACAAACTTACAAAATAAGAGAATAGTTTTTGGAGAGAGAGAGAGATAGATGTTGAAACGTGTCAATGGGAGTGTCTATATTAGCCTTTCTCTGCGTGTTTCAAGCTGCGTAGAGGGCAAAAGACGCCAACTATATCTCTCCTTTTCGACGTTGAAAAGGAATTCATTCTACCTCATCTTTTCATTCTTTTATAAATTTTTCATTTAAATAATCCAAATAGAAACGGCTTTCTAAGCTTTTTCTATACATAAAGAGTTTGTTGGAATGACATAATTACCTAAAAAGCTACTTAAGTGGTTTATTATTACTACACTAGCATAAGATTTGTATATTAATTTAGGTGTATTTGTTTCTATTTCCTTTCTTTCCTAGAGTGTTAGTATAAGAATTAAGGAGTGTGAAATTTTTTAAGCTATACATGCTGAGCTGTATTAGTACACTAATATTTTAAGTTTATGGTGAATTGGTGATTAATTATATATTAATGTTTACATCAAACATGTCAATTTGTCGCGAAACTGAAAAGGAAAAGATGGGAAATCAAGAAGGGAAGGAAGAAAGTAACAATTTTGTATTAAAAATAACATTTGTAGCAAAATCATTATCATAGATTCTTGTCCATTGTCTAACCATATCTAGATTTGCTAAGTTGGTATTGCAGCACTTGAAATAACTCCATCAAAATGAAAAGATGGGGGTGATATTGACAGCCATCCTTTTTCTTTTTAATTTTAGATTTTCTCATTCAAGCTACTAAATAATTTGCTATTTATTTATCTTAGTCCACTTTAAGTGAATTCGCGTCGATTGTATTTTTCCTCTTGTAGCAAAATTGCGAATACGTGTGAAGATTAACCATAAAAATAATTTATCCAGGAGGAACTTTATTGTTTTATTTAGCCGAACTATCAATCATATCGTGTCACCAAGTTAACCAAAATGTAGGTTTTCAAAAAAGAGTATATTCATAGATTTACCATTTTGGCTTCACTATCTATTTTTTTTTCCTCTAATGGGATCCATTTTTTCTTCCATTTAGTTGCAGTTTCTCATTCAAATGAGCAAGATAAATTTCATCTATCTGTATATATTATAAGATGCATGAAAAGCTAAGGTTAGGTTGCGCTAGATGCGCGCTCTTGACGTGCATGATTCTAAATATATGATTGATCTAATGATGAAGAATGTTTATCGATACGCATATGACTAGCTAGTTTAAATTTTTAAAACTGAGCCAGTTACTTCATTAATTTCATAAAAAGTCAATCATTCATAGCATAAAAGTATTAAACTTTTAAGTATCTGCTTGTGCAAAGAATCTTTATTGTATGTATAAAGTCATGATCACCAAATGCCAATTACATGTAACTCCCTAACAAAGCATGTATATTGATACTATATCAGGAAAAAGGGTAAGCGGCTGGTTATAACGAAAAAGATAATTTATAGTGTAATTTAATTTTACCATGCCGGTCGATATTAGTTAAATCCTCTATTTTAAAAGGCAGAATTGGGTCTCGCCCGGGGCTCGCCCTAGGGCAGAGCACTCATAAAACGCCTCTGGGCTTATGTATGAGGCTTAGTTCCGTGAGACTTACGCCTCAGTTGTCAAGGCTTACTCCCCGGACACGATCAATGCTTGGCATACTGGGCTCGCCTCATAGAACTTTATGCAATTGTGTGTAATTAACCTTGTAAATCCTCAAATTTTCTTAACAAAACGTTGACTATTTCAAATTACTTTTTTCTTAATCATAAATCATTAATTTGAGAGTATTTTATGTCATAATTTAAATAAAAATTATTGCACGTTATCCACTAAGACTTCTATGATAGTAATTTTAAAATAAATCTTTCATTTAAAAGTTTATATTTATTAACTCTTGTTATGTCTTTATTATATAATAATCCATAATATTTTTTATAATTATTTTCCTAAATGTTATTTTTTTCACGCTTACGAGATACGATACTTATTAATTTAATAGCTCAGTATTAGCTAGTAATTACAACAACAACAACCTAGTAAAATCCCATTCAGTGGGGTCTGGGGAGGGTAAAGCGTACGCAGACCTTACCCCTACCCCGGAGGGGGTAGAGAGGCTGTTTCCGGGAGACCCTTGGCTCAGATACAATAGATCTGTGATAACAAATCCCAAAAAAGTAATATCAGCAACGTGAGAGACATCAAATAGATGGAAAAACAGTACCACAAATATTATACAAAAAAGTGAAACACAACATAAATCGACCGCCCAACTACCCCTTAACCTACAACCCTAATGCTCGACTACCCCTTAACCTACAACCCTGATGCTCGACCTCCACACCTTCCTATCTAGAGCCATGTCCTCGAAAATCTGGAGCCGCGCCATGTCATGTCTAATCACCTCGACCCAATACTTCTTAGGCCGCCCTCTACCTCTTCTCGTACCTGCCAAAGCCAACCGCTCACACCTCCTAACCGGGGCATCTAGACTTCTCCTTTGCACGTGTCCGAACCATCTAAGCCGCGCTTCCAGCATCTTGTCGTCCACCGGAGCCACGCACACCTTCTCCCGAATATCTTCACTCCTAATTTTATCCAGCCTAGTGTGCCCATACATCCACCTCAACATCCTCATTTCTACAACTTTCAACTTCTGGATATGTGACTTCTTGACTGGCCAACACTCAGCCCCATACAACATGGCCAGTCTAACCACCGCTCTATAGAACTTACCTTTGAGTTTCGGTAGCACATTCTTGTCACAAAAGACTCCATACGCTAACCTCCATTTCATCCACCCCATCCCAATACGGTGCGTAACATCCCCGTCTATCTCCCCATCTCCCTAGATAATTGACCCTAAGTACTTAAAAATTTCTCTCTTGAGGATGACCTGTGAGTCAAGCCTGACTTCCACATCCGCTTCCCCCGTCACTTTGTTGAACTTACATTCCACATATTCCGTCTTAGTCCTACTCAACTTGAAACCTTTAGATTCCAGGGCCTGCCTCCATACCTCCAGTCTTCCATTAACGCCGCCTCGTGTCTCATCAATCAGAACTGTATCATAAGTGAACAACATACACCATGGTACCTCTACTTGTATATGGTGTGTCAGTGCGTCCATCACCAGGGCAAATAGGAACGGACTGAACGTAGATCCTTGGTATAATCCCATAACCATCGGAAAAGGCTCTTAGTTACCTTCCACAGTCTTACCCCGAGTCATAGATCCATCATACATATCCTTTATCGCCCTAATGTAAGCTACCGACACACCTTTTACCTCCAAACATCTCTAAAGGACGTCCCTGGGGACCTTGTCATACGCCTTCTCTAGGTCAATAAACACCATATGCAAATCCCTCTTCTTATCCCTGTATTGTTCCACCAACCTCCTAATAAGGTGGATAGCTTTCGTAGTAGAACGACCCGGCATGAATCCGAACTGGTTTTCCGATATAAACACCTCCCTCCTTATCCTCTCTTCCACCACCCTCTCCCAAACTTTCATGGTATGACTTAGTAGCTTGATACCCCTATAGTTGTTACAATTCTGTATATCACCTTTGTTCTTGTACACCGGAACCATATTACTCCACCTCCACTCATCAGGCATCCTCTTCATCCTGAAGATAACATTAAACAACCCAGTCAGCCACTCCAAGCCTGCTCTACCTGCATATCTCCAAAACTCTATTGGAATCTCGTCTGGTCCGGTTGCTTTTCCCCGACTCATCTTACCCATTGCACCCACGACCTCCTCAACCTTAATGCTCCTACAATACCTAAAGTCGCGGTGGCTTTCGGAGTGCCCCAATTGCCCTAATACGATGTTTCCATCCCCCGCTTCATTCAGAAATTTATGAAAGCACGAATGCCATCTTTGCCTAATCTGGGCCTCTTCCATCAATACTCGACCGTCCTCATCTTTGATGTCCCTCACTTGATCCAAGTCGTGATCCTTCTTCTCTCTTTCTTTGGCTAACCGGAATAACTTCTTGTCTCCACATTTGCCCCCAAGCTCCTCATTCAACCGACCAAATACAGCAGTCTTAGCCTCTGTGACCGCTAATTTCGCCTCCTTCCTAGCCTCCTTATACCTTTCTCTGTTCGCTCTCTTCTGATCCTCGTCGGTGCACTCTACTAACTTAATGTAAGCCGCTTTCTTGGCTTTCTCTTTACCTTGGACCACATCATTCCACCACCAATCGCCTCGGTGCCTGCCAAAGTAACCTTTCGAAACTCCCAACACCTCTCTCGCTACCTCCCTTTACAGTCCGTTGTTGCCGTCCACATAGTTCTCGCGTCCCTACCACTCTTCTAGGCACCCATAGTCGTCAACCTCCCCTCCAACTCCCGTACATTATCCTTAGACAAAGCTCCCCACCTGATTCTCGTCTGACCCCGGACAAACCTCTTCTTGCTCTTCATCAAGATACCCACGTCCATCACTAGGAGCCTATGTTGAGTTGTGAGTTTCTCACTTGGGATTACCTTGAAATCCTTGCACAACCCCCCTATCACACCTCCTGAAGAGTAGATAGTCAATCTGAGTCTTAGCCACCATACTCCGGAAAGCAACCAAATGTTCCTCCCTCTTCGGAAACATAGAGTTCACGATTACCAACTCAAAAGTGCTAGCGAAATCTAACAATGAGGTACCACCCCCATTCCTTTCACCAAAGCCAAAGCCACCGTGCACCTCACCATAG